AAATTTTAGTTCTTTTAAGTTAAAATTCTCCATCTCTCTAGGTATTATTTTTTGAATGGTGTTAACCTGCTGAAGTTTTGCCAGAATGGTGCCTGGCTGCGTCTGGGTTCGGTGAACTCGAAGACCTGGGACTGGGATATGCCATCTGTCACCATGTATTGTCCCTGATTTAATGGATCCTGGGGTGGTGGGTAGGCTGGAGGAACCGACTTGGAGTAGCTCACACCTGCATCGATGATTGGGGGGAAAAAGAAACAGATCAGTCAAAGTGCAATTGGGTCAATAGTCTTTCTTCGTCATGCTATCGCTTCTTATCGCTTAATAACCAGGGTCCCAAACAACAGGGAGATGTGCTAGAGACTGCAAATCTACGGAGGAACACAGCAGCTGCCTGAACTCTCAGCTCAGAGGCCACCTACACTAGACCACGAGTTGAAGATTTGGAAGAGATCCATTACTTTTGCATTGGCAGAGTTTTGCCTGCCCTCATGGAAAAGTCCTGTGTGACCTAACGAGGCACAAACACGGCCAGGCTGTGTATCAATCGCAGTATCAATCTGGTCAGACGAAGGCAGACAACCGCATCATTCAACCCTCTCGCAGATTTAACACTTGCTGTTTCCAAGCTCGTTTTCACCCTCCCGCCCAGCTACGCTTGGAAAGCGGTTTTGCCCCAACGTGCCCCGGTGACCAGCCCCGAGCAGCACGACCCCAAGGACCACTCGGCACCGGTCCCTGCGCCAGAAGGGAGCAGAGCTGCTTTGGAGGAAGCGCTACGCTGCAGGGGCCCGTGCCGCTTCATCGCTATTCTGCCTATACAAAGGGCAACTCATTATTTTCTCCAGGAAAGTTTGTAGGACTTTTCCATAGGGTTCGTTTTAAATTTACCAGTCTGGTTTCAGCCAAAACCGGCTGCACGCAACACAGAAAAGGCTGATTCTGCTCAATCCAAACTGGTAGCAATGGATGGACTGGCAAGACTACACTTTCAGGTTCTAGATGCATAATTCCCACATACGTGAGTCAGCTCCTGTGCAGGAACGGGGTGAGGGGATGCTGCCCTTACAGCTTTCCCATGGAAAGGGGGAGCTTCAGCAAGCTGGGACCTACGCAACCTCTTGTAAAGGATGGTGTAGCAGGGGCGGCTCTGGGTGAATGGAAGTGGAACAGAAGGGAGGCAGGTCACCACCAAAGTGTAGACTACAGGGAACAGCAATCTAGCTACTTCTGTATTTCCTTCCCCGCAACACCACTGATGAGGGATAATCCCTCCTTCAGCCTCAGGGTAGCGTGATCAGCTGGAAACCACAACTCCAGAGAAGAGCAGGAAGGAGAGAGGAGCAGGGCTCTGAAGCAGGTTGCTGTAAGCTCTGGCCATCTCTGGATCCCCTCTGCTGCACGCAGAACTGCTCTTCCTTCTGCGGGGAGGGCAGCCCCGGCCGCATGACGGGTGGCAGGCTTCGCAAGGGCCATCTCGAGGCCATTGCCTCCCCTGGTTTTAACCGCAGGAGCGAGGCGACTCTACCCAAGTAGATCAGTGTCCTCATCTGGAAAGCGGGATGGCATCACCCACCTACCTCACACGAGGGTTGTGAAGCTAAATTAATAAAAGTTTGTAAAACACTTTGAGATCCTCGGCTGGGAAGGTGCTAGAGAAGGCAAAATACGGTGATTAGCACCCAGGTACCACAGCAACGTGTGTAAAAGAAATGCGACTCTTTGCATTCAGTTAGCGGTTCCTACCCACACACAAACACATGCTTTGCGGGACCAGCACCGGCCAGCCCAGGCACAGGAAGGCTGCACACAGTCGGGTACTTACAGACAAAGGAAAAAGCCTCACAAAGTGCACTCATGGAGCTCATCAGACAACTTTTATACGTTGCCAGATTATAATTCAGGACCTCTTTGAGATACAAAGCTAATGCTTTAGTATGGCTTCAGGAAAGAGAATTAATTTGCTTCTCCTTGCTATAGAATTTACCAGTCAAGGGTTGTTAAAATCCTCAAAAGGTTCAGACCAAACGGAGGTATCATCTTGACTATGTCTGACTGACTTCTCCTTCTTTACAGCAAATACCATCAAATCATGCAGCTCTCTGTCCACTGTAGGGAGTAACCAAGATCTTTCCTTACGGTGGACAAAAACTGCTCCATGATTCATACTTATTAACCTTTAACAAATTCATCACAGTTAATATTTCAAACTTATTTGAAAAGAACAACCTGGACATGTTCTGCGTTTGTATCTGCATGCTAGAATCGAGTTATTCATCAACAAGTTTTCTACCCTGTCTTTCCCAAGCTCCTCTCTCCCCCAGAAAGCCTGCAGAGCAGAGTGCAGCCCCAAAGCCCTCGCTGTCCTGGGTCAAACCTGGACAGGGTCAGTTCTAAGATACCTGAGACAACTTCTGTTCCATCTTGTTGGCAAGGATGGCCCCACCCATCAATTGGAATTTACCACACTATGTGACTTAAGCCAATGACGTCCCATAAGGGTAGAACATGGGCTTGAGCTCATCTCTGCCCTACCTCTTCCATCCCTTCTTCTACCTCTGTCCTGCTCCGAGTTGCCTTGCTGGAAGGCAACTGCAGAGTCTGCTCTGGAGGGCAAACTCTAGCCCTGAACCCACACAAGAGTGGATTCTCCTGGAAGCCACCAGCCTTTAGTGCCTTGGCCACTTTTCCCAGCAGAGGCTGGTGAGGAATTCTAGGATCTGTGGGAAGGTTAGGATCCTTTACATGTCTATAGTTGGGAAATACATCTTCTGCTGTCTGGTAAGTGGTTTGGATCTTTGACTGACCCAAGGGACCAGGAATTACTTCAAAGGCAAATAGTCCTTGTGGCACCAATATTACTAACTCACAACACAAAAGAGCTGTGAATCTAAAGCTACTACTAAGGGACATACAGCAATTGTTTCTAGCTTTGGAAGACCTTAAAACCCCATTGCTTTAATGACATGGCCCAATGTCTTTTGCATCCTGTGGCTGCAGAGCTGCAGTCAGCCTTATGATGCATCCGGTCTGCCACACTGAGCTGGGCTGGGCTCTTCATTGTCTCTAAACCAATTAGTGGAGGGTGAACTAATGTATTTTAATCATGATACAGAAATGCTAAGAAATCTCCTGGATCAGCAAAACATTATGCGCTTGGGAGGCTGAAGAAGTAGAGAAAGGACAGTCTGGCTAACGTCCACTGACATTGATGGAGTTACACTGCAAGGAATGTAATCCATAGTCTGTCTTCTCCAAAAGAGAAAAAGGCAGACTCCCCTGGCCAGATCACTAGCAAACCCCATTCAGTTCTTTCCCAAAATAGCCTTTTTGGTCCAAACTCCCGAAAAACGTCTATCCTTGCTTGAAACATACCCATGCACACACTGCTACTTCCTTCAGTAAAGCAGCTCAGACCCATATTATCAAAGTTGTTTGTGGGCCCTGCTCGAGGATCTAGGTTATGGCATCTGGATGAATGGCAAAAGATCCTGGCTGGTTCTACCTGAATAAGCAGCCAAAGGTTTGCATATTTATCATATTTATCAAATGGCCTCCATGGCCTGAATGATCAAGACTGCGGATCTCAATGGCATGCATAATTACCGTGTGTTTGTGGGCATGCAAATAAAAACATTTGTGCTCTGGCTGATAATTCCATAAGAATACATTTTCTTGTGAAACTGTGATACAGCCCTTTGCAATAGCTTGAGGTACCCCAAGAATGGCTTTTTTTTTTGTTGTTTTGGACATACCCACGTTCTTGACAAGGTGGAACACAGGAATTGGGGGGGGAAGGAGGGAGATTCACCTAATCTGCACATCTTCAAATCCTGAGAAAGAGCAATTCTAGGAAAAAGTATGACAGGCTGGTATTTTTCTATTCTGCTCTGAAGTGGTTTGCTCCCTCATCAGAACTCGGGGCTGTTGTGCAAAATTGTCTCTTGAGGGATTTTTTTATATGCAAAGCCATAACTCCACTGCAATTCAACAGAAAGAAATAAGCAAAGCTCTTTTCCAATGCAATTTTGGGCTGCTTGGCGAACAGAATTCAAAGCGCAAAGGGAAAGAATCGATAGATAGGTAATGATTTTTAGACACAGCTGCTGCGCTGCCTTTCCAAGGCGTAAGAAAGCAGCTATACACCGATGACCAGACTTGGAGCTCCTTCTGCTGGTTCATGCATAATTCTGCACTGTAGCAGAATATAAAGGCTGCAGCTGCATAGCAAGA